GTGCGGCAGAGCTCCCAGGTATCAGAGTAGGGAAGCCAGCTGCAGAGACGGAGCCGAGGAGTGGGCTCTCAGCTCACGGTTGCCAAAAACCATGATCCGCGGCACAGTCAGGCCACTGGTCTTCCAGCAGGGACCCAACAAGCAGCAGATACGGGTAGACTCCCCGTCCTCCCCTGGGAGTAGCGGTGCAGGAGCGCACCGCAGGAATATGCTGGGTTTGGAGATGCCAAACAGAGTCATGTGCCAGAGACAGAAATGCTCGGTCACAGGCCAGGTGAGCACAGAGTGTGGCCGGAGACCAGGGAGACAGGAGTGATTGTTTTCCTCTGAGGGCTCACTGAGGCGTGGGGCCCGAACTCTAGCTTCTCAGGGGCCAGAGATTGAGAGGCTGACATTTTCATTCTCCTCCTCTTAAGGCTGAGCAGAAAGAGTTCAGAGAACAAAAGCTACCACAGCAAACCTGAGAAGATTACTGAGCCTGGCCCCTGGCAAGCGTGGTGCAATTCCGCCTCCGGCAAAGACATTTGAGAATAACTGTATCAGGCCCCTCCCCCAGAAGATCAGTAAGAATATCCAGCCAAGACCAACAACTGCAAAACTGCAGTACTAGGGAAATACAGCACATAGAATTCAAGGCTTTTTCACCATAATTCTTTAGTCTTTCAACTTTAATTTTCTTAATTTTTATTTTTTCCCTTTTTTCTTTTTTTGAATTACTTTTTTCCTTTTTCAACCAACTTATCAATTCCTTTTCTGAAATTTTTTAATTTTCATTTTACAGTCATATTCCAACTCTTCACTGTATTTAATGTTATTTTTGTGTGTATATATACATATATGTTTTTCTTTCTTTAAAATTTTGGGAAGCAGTTTCTTCTAACAGACCAAAATACACCCAAAATCTAGTGTGTGGCTCTGTTCTATTCACCAGCCTCATCATCACCCCCATCCCGTTTCAGGTCTTATCTGATTTGTTTAGTGTATACTTCTTTGGGGTCACTGTTACCTTTTTAGCATTTTGTTCTCTCCTTCACCTATTCTTCTCTGGACAAAATGACAAAACGGAAAAACTCACCTCACAAAAAAGAACAAGAGACAGTACTCACTGCCAGGGACCTCATCAACATGGACATTAGTAAGATGTTGGAACTAGAGTTCAGCATGACGATTATAAAGATACTAGCTGGGCTTGAAAAAAGCATACAAGATACCAGAGAATCCCTTTCTAGAGAAATCTAACCAAGTCAAAATCAAAAAGGCTATTAATGAGGTGCAATAAAAAATGGAGGCTCTAATTGCTAGGATAAATGAGGTAGAAGAGAGAATTAGTGATAGAGGAGACCAAATGATGGAGAATAAAGAAGCTGAGAAAAAGATAACTACTGGATCACAAGGGGAGAATTAAGGAGATAAATACCATAAGACGAAACAATATTAGAATAGTTGGGATCCCAGAAGAAGAGAGAGGCAGAGGTATATTGGAGCAAATGACAGTGGAGAACTTTCCTAACTTGGAGAAGGAAACAGGCATCAAAATCCAGGAGGCAGAGAGAACCCCTCTCAAAATCAATAAAAATAGGGTCAACACCCCGACATCTAAT